ACACCTTTTAGTCTCTGAGACGGGTGTGGGCCACTGAACCTATTGCGGGGACCCCAATGGCTCCACACTGGGATGGAGGCTTGCACAGCGCTGGCTTCCAGAGTCTGGCCCACAGTGGCACATCTGGGCTTGTGGGCGAGTGGTGGCATCCTGGGGATACAGACACATTTATGGGATGGGTATGCCTGAAAGGATACAGTAACAGGAAACAAGAAAGCATACTGAGGAACATGGGAGGAGACCAGGAGAGAGTGGCATTCTGGAAACATGCAAGAGATTCGGGAAGAAGCAGGGGGATCCTGGTGAGAGGTTAAGTCCCACAAGTGCAGAAAAGCTGACCCTGGCAGGGAAGTGGCCACAGAAGTTGGTGCGTGTTTCTTCTGAGAACCTGGGAATGAAGGATGGCGGTGCCAGAGAGCGGAGTGTTTTCAGACGGGACTGATCAAAGTTGCAGGCGGGAATGATGAGGAAACTGCTTTGTGTTTTAACCTTTTCAGATAATGGCGTTTCTCCTGAGGAAGAAAACCTCTTTCCTAAACCATCGCATTTTTCAGCTGATCCTCTCAGTTGCTGGCACTGCAGAATGGGGCTTCAGGTCATCTGCTGTCACCAATGTTGGAATCTTCCAGCACATTCTCTGCAACTTTGAGGTAAATCAGAGACTAGTCTTAGCCCTTCAGGACTGTGTGTGTGATGGTAAGATATAATAAAGTCTGCAGTTTCCTCTAAACCCAGCAGGTCGGATTCCTCAATAGTCATGATGGAAGTGAGAGGGAAAACCACAAAAGCTTTGGAGCCCCGAGGCCCTGGTTTGTAATTAAATCCTGCAACCTACGTGCTATGTGACCTTGGAGAAATCTCTTGACCCCTCTGAGCCCCACTCTTCCGTGTGAAATGGTGACCATCGTCCCTTCCTTGAAGGCTGTCATGGAGGTTAATCCAGACAGCATCTGGGAAAGAATTTTAATACTGTGAAATACCATATACACATGAGGGTTTAAAAAATTATCTCCAGTACTTTGGATGGCACTTTGCTGTTTCCAAATGGTTCTTTTTTTAAAAAATTCTTTTTTCATTAAAAAATTTTCTAGATAGTTTATTATATATACATGTGGGTACAATACTGATTTTCAATAATTGTGTAGAATGTGTGGTGGTTAGATCAGTATTTGTGTCCATTGACCGATTCCTCATTAGCCCCCTCCACCCCCTCCCCGCCCTTTTCCACCTTTAGTTAACTAAAAGTTTAATGTATTACTGTGATTATTGTTTGTTTGTTTCTTTCTTTCTGTCTTTATTGTTCATGTGTCTATTTATGGATTCAGTTCCTGGTTGTGAGTGAAAACATGCAGTATTTCTCTTTCTGGACCTCGGTTGTTTCACTTAGGATAATTTTCTCCAGGCTCATCCATGCTGCTGCAAA